CGAGGCACGCTCTGCATAAAACCCAATTTCTTTTGTCAGTGACCCTTGCACTGATATCACATCCAATCTCACCATGTTTGGGAGCTTTGGCTGGGCTTGTTTGAGTCGGCGCTGACATTTCAGCCTCACATGACAAAAGAGTACAGCGGCAATAAGCTTATTTAAAAGGGAGAGCATCACCACAAGCATTACGAATGGGTGCCACTCTTTTTTGAATTACAGAAGTGAGGGTCTAGGCCTCTGCGCTGTTAATCACACTTTAATTCATCCTAGAAAAATCAAACAGCTCGGACTAAAGAACATTAACAGGGACCTGTCCTCTCCCGGACCCCATCTGAAAATGGGGGATGACAGCAATAATAGCATGTGTCAAACACTCACATTTTCTCTTCAAACTACTGACAGGCAGTGACAGATGCTCCCACTGCAATTGTCTTTGTAAACATTCTGGGACACACTCCCATTCACGTCAGAGCATTTATTGTCATGTACCACAAGGTCTATAAATTCAACGTAAATGATTAATTCCAAAGTCATTTGAAAGTGGATTTCAATATTGTCGCAAGGGCAACATGGCTGAATCATATAGCACAACTATACAACTATAGATTATAGTCAGTCGGACTTTTAATGGGATCCCTATGGGACCATACTGCAGGGATGTCCTCAAGCATCAAATTATTAGTCCATTTCAGTTTATTAATTACTATTCTTAATATATCTTAAGAGAGTGCCAGGAGATATTATAGACTAACTACCTAAAAGCTGCAAACGAAATGCTCGACATACATTTACATTAAACATATTAATGAAATACTAGATTGGCTGGGTGTTTGGCTCGCTGTTTTACTCGAAAGTTCATCAACCAAAACGAAGGCGCATGCTGCGAAAAAAGCAAAGTGCAACATTGCTTGGAAACAAAGTGTTGAGAAATTACTGGACATGAGAGTTTGGGGGCAATTTTGATTCAAGTATGTGAATGAGACCTCTCGAAGCTCAAGGGTACTCGGATCTGTGTGGAAATTAAGCCATGAGATTGTAGCTGAGAGGATTGTGGATTGACAGCAACATTAGCCCCTCAGCACCTCTGCTATATCACACTATGGCTCTGTAAAGTAGAAGGACAGGAAAAGCAAATTAAATCTTCTTAATAGTAGCAAGGGATGTACAGTCAGGTTGTTTTGAACCTGCAGGACTGTACAAGTGCAGCACATGAAGGGTGGTGTTTTTAGTGGAATAAAATGAAGTGGCTCTGAAGTGTTTTGGTTAATGGGTCTACTCCAACCAACTTCATACAAAAGGCACTGCCATATTTATATCAATTTGAAACAAGCTCCTTCACAATGCCTTCTGGCCTATTCTTGAAGCAAGTTCACAGGTCACGCTCTACTCTTTGCTGTTAACTTGAATAGATGCATTAAATGCATTACATTACAGACTTACTCAGTGACAACCGAGTGAGAAAACACTCGTAGCCCGACTCTGAGAGCACTCCGAGCAGATGGCTTTTGTTGTTGCTTTGTTGACGGTTTTCTCACTGGCTGTTTTTTTTTTCTTCTTCTCCAGGTTCAATGACACCACACTGCTTTGCCACAAAGACTAACCTTAATGTACACAAAGCCCAGTCGGCAAATCTTTGCACAAGCAACATGCATGCACGCACACAGTTTTTAAAGGAAGGAGGTACACAGAGGGAGCAAGGCGTTTTTCAATGCATTTAGATGAGACCTTTAACAAAAGGTCCCTAATGCAGATATCAATGAACCAAGGGACTGGGCTATCGGAGCGAAATTGGCTGACGGAGGGATGTCACCCCTGTGCATGAAAAATGATGGATGCCATTTGTAAACTTCTCCTCTGCCCTGCTGCCCCTCCTCTCCTCCTGCACACGGACACAGGCATCCCTCCTTCATCACCTGCTCCTCCACTGGTTATTAAACAAGGAAGCGAACCTATGACTTTGCTGACAAATAACAAGTGGTCTGGTGAAATTGGCACTTTACTGGCTATTTCAACCGACTGTCAGGGAGTCCACGGAGGACCTGTGAGATTTCAGTGATGACAGAATAGATTAACATCATGGACTTTGTTTTTCATCTTCCTTTCATTTTCCATACTATTCTCCGAGGACATCAGCAAAATGAAACCAATATCTATGAACCCGCAAACAGACAACTGGAGCTTTCAAAATATTAGATTTTGTGTTTTGGATAGGACAATCTACTGTTTCTTTCCACTCACGCCATGGTTGTGCTTGATTTGAAAAGCAAAGGCAAAACCTAAATCCATCTAATTCAGATGAACAGATTGCTCCATTACAACATGCACTTTTTATACCCTGAAATAAAACAGATTTATGTTTCATATATACAACCTCTCACTTTTTGAAAGCATAGGGCTAAGGTCTGAATGCAAACATCAACACAGGCCATGCATAATACAACAATTTCCAGAGCTTGCAGAAATCATGCTCAGCATATAAAGTGTAATAAGCAACATAATATGCATACTGAGCATTTCTAAGGAAACAATGATATATTGCTAATCATCCTAGAATGAATTATGGCCGTTTTAAAAGTGGTGTGTTTAGTCAAAGGTACTGAGGTTAATACAGGCAAACAGACATCTCTGCTGGAGAATGAAAACTTCCCAGTGGAGTGCGATGGTCGGCCTAAACGCCGACATTGTGCTTTCGGTGATGGAGTGACTTTGGGAGGGTTTGTGGTCTGCCAGTGTTCAAAGCTGTGCCTTGAGGGTAAGGGGTAAATTTGCTAAGTTAATCACATAATGAGGCCAATTAAACACGAGAGAACCCAGGTGAACTGGGAGCTGCCACAGAGCCTCGGACAAACGAGGCCCTGCTGATTCCTCTGGACAGAGGCTGGACAACCCAGTTTCAGCTCGGATAATCCTCTATTAAGTATTCACTTCAACACTTATACAGTGTATCTTATTAATGTATGTACAGTATATCGGATTATGTGTCTGTGACTCTGTATTGGGTGAATTAATTTAGCCGGAATGTGTACATTGACATCCAGGGTAGCCAGGATTAGGGCTGCAACTAACCATTATTTTCATTATCCTTTAATGTGTGGCTTAGATTTTTTTTAATTGAGCCTACATTTACTCTATAAATGTCAGAAAATTATAAAAAATTCTCATTGCAACCATGCGTCCACAGTGATGTCTTTGAATTTGTTTTGCCAGACCAACAGCCCAAAGTAAAACGGTTTTGGTTATTTCAAAGAGATTTTGCGTTAATTGTTTTTGCGAGTGCGCTTAACTAGTTTAAAACGGGCATTACCTGGTTGGGATAAAATGACGTCACATACATGTACATTCTATACAGCAATAAGGATTTAGCCATGTTTGAACCAAAATCTCACAATTGTTTTCTTCTGTTGCCAGCTGGCAGTCAATCTGATCAAACTTCATGCACACAGTTCTAAAGGAAGTAGATTAGCTGCATCTGGACCGGGTTTTTCTACTGTTAAACTCTTAATAAACTAGAAATATGTCCTCAATCGAGTGCAGATCTCCGCCAGGGATTGAATGATTACAACCCACAACTGGCTAACCCCCTGTCTAGACACCAATGAAGGCGTCGTAAAACACACTTCATTAAAACTCAAAAACAAGCGGTGATGTATACAGGCAATCGGCTCAAAGTAGTCGTGTAAGACATTTTATACAATCTTTCCAAAAACAATATTTAACTCACCAAGCTGTCTGCCCACGTAGCAGCAGCTGAATGTTACTAACTATGAGTACTGGTTAGTACCATTAGCTGATAGCCAAACACTAAAAAAACTAAAAGAGTGTTAACTGTGTCTCTGGGGGTGGGAGATTCACTCAGCTGTGTTATCACTAGCAGCCCCTACCTGCCGGGGGCCGGTAAAGAGTAGTGAGTGAGGAGTCAGCAGGCAGTTAATGCCAATATAAAAAGGGCAATTAAAGGTGTTTTGAGAAAGTGTGAGTCACCACAACCACGAGAGGTCCTTGAGCATGCAGCTGGGCAGAAACTGGGCAGAAAAAAATAGTATGCAGTTTGCGAGATTAGCTGTGGACAGACACAGAGGTGCACACTCACTCACTTACGAACACACACACACACACGCGCGCGCGAACGATCGCACGATCGCACGATCCTCCTGGCGCGGACTTATACTTTGGTTTGGTATTTTCTAATCATTGTTTCAGCACTAGATTGGATTTATCTTGATAATGTTCAGGAGTAGTATTAAGCAGTCTGTCACTCAAACCTCAAACAACACCAGACCCATTTCACCTGAACTTCTGCTAAAATTGATCAAATATTCCTGACATTGCACCCCTCCATCAAAAACAAGCATTTTGGTGGCTAGCCTGCACACGGTGTCCTTGATTGTTACTGCTGGGAAGTGTTGTTGACGAGATTATCTGAGTGTTCGAGTGCTCTTGGAGGGTCTACAGGAGGATAAATCACTCTGGCAGCAATTAGACTTCCCTGAGTGCTTCCTACATACCTGAAACTTCACAGGCACAGCAGGCCTGAGGTCAACGAATAGGAGGGTTATGCACTGAACAGGATGAATGGTAGTGAAACAGTATTTTACACTGTATATGTGCCATCCTCTTAAACATAAGAGTCCTAAGAGCACTATAATCTTGGAGTGTTGCCCCCTTCCAAACTATTTCTACTTTAAGTACAGATCGAAGGGTTGGAGCGTTAAGAATCCTTGCGTTATGAAACAGAAATGTCTGCCTTATTCTGTTCAATGAGCTACGGACTGTGGGTGTTAAATGCTGAACAGAACTGGCCAAGGATAGAATATCTTGCTTGCAAGCTGTAGGGCTACCATGAATGACAAGCTGTCACGGACACAACACAAAGCAATAAGTAATTGCAGAAAGAGCAGTGCATTAAAACATGAATACATGTAGAGTTAGATGGACACTAATGAAAGGATATTTCATCGCCATCAAGGGTTTATAAAAAGGCCCACCACTCTGCCCACCACCATCCACTAATCTGGATGTAGAGGATTTGCCCAGAGTAAGATGGACAAGGGAAATTAAGGCAGGCACATTTACACCAGATCATATTGCAATGATTTGTTAATAAAATGCAAAGCGACAGTCTGGATGTGAGACAGCGACTAAAGCGCGCCCATGATTTAGACTTAATCCATCATTATCCCGCCTTTGAAGTGACCTCGCTGTGCGTGTTCCCACTGTGACCCAGAAGCACACTCACAGCGTCTTCATTAGCCAGGATGAAACAGAGCCGCAGCCCACACGACTTTGATGTCCCGTCCCGTCCACACAGACATACAGATGCACACACAGGACACCTACTCACACATCACAGATATCCTTATCCCTGACTACACTGAGGCATGGAAAAACATTATGGTTTTTAATCAATTATGGCTCTCACCTTTGGGGCAGCACATTCATTACGTATGATAGGAGTAGCTAAGGGACAATATTCCAATTGCGTGCCGAGATTGAAATGAAAGAAATTGTATGGTTAGAGGGTAGACAACGACTGCAATTTCACACAGCCGAACATCCCTGGCTGGATTTACATATGTCCACACAAAAGGCCTACACTGCTGATATTTCACTGATATAATTTATGTGTACCCAGTGATTTATCGTCCTTAGATCACCGTGTAGAAATCAAGCACAGATCTCCTAAAGAGGTCCATGCATGCCGCCAGTAAATGATAGCCGTGATAAAAGTTTACCATGGCAATGAAATGGAACGAATCCATCAAAAAGGCACAGATTGCCGTCATGCAAAACGGTGTCCAATCAGAGGTAGTTATGTGGTAGGAAGTAAAAAAAAAAAAAAAAAAGATTATACACATGCAAAACATGCATGCAACAACACTGGACTTTGTTGAGAAAATTAAAAAAAAGCAATCAAAATACTTCCAAACTTCCTGTTATTAAAAAAAAAGGTAGCCAAGGAAGATGTGCTGATAATTAACTATACATGTACATGTACTGGGATCAAAAGATGTACATACACAGCTCTCAAGTCAGCTAAACAGCAGACGAAACAATAGTAGAGATCAGTTGATGTTTAGGTACTCTACTGAATCCTTGTGTGAAATTAAAATAACAGGTTCATTATATGGGACACTACTTCCTATTTGATGTGCACTATTTTTCACCATGGAAGGTTATGGTTGTTGTCAGGGTAAGCAGCAGTAAAAGGCAGTTGGAACTGGGCTACATTAGCATCGGCCTAAATCTAAAGGGTAAAGGGTAGGTTAGTAAGAATTTACAAGTTAAGTATTTATAAGTAAGTGAATACATCATTTTCACATTTTGATAATCTTATTCATACTCAAAACTCACTCAAGTCAAAATGATGTCAGGTACCAGATTATGAGTAAATATGCACGTGTCTTTATTTCTCTGCAGCAAAAACTGATATATTTACCACTGTGTGAAGACCACCCGAAAGTAAATACCTGGCAAGTGTGGCCAGAAAATGAAGTCTAAAAATCTTTAGAGATCTTTTTTAAAGCTGCTACTTTGAAAATAAAGACATTGAAAATATCACGTATTCATGAGAAAATGTCAACAAAAGAAATGACTCACTATGTAAATTGAAGCGTTCCCACAACAAAATGTGTGATCCTTAAAGAAAGAACCCATCTGTGTATTTGGCACTCTGCTGGTCTGCTGGAGTGTACTACCATACAAAAAAAAAAAAGGTGTGAGCACCCATGCGGTTAGCTCCACAACACACATGTTTCTGCACGGAGTGGAAGAAGATTTCTTTCCCCAGGCAATGGCCCGTCAGGCCAGACAACCCGGCCGGGTGTTAATGTGTGAGCCGGGTACACCGAGTAACAACAGGGACATCTGCCCTGGGAATGCTCACATCCATCTTACTAAGGACAAGCCAGTCTGGGAAAACGAGGGGATGGAGCGAGAAAGAGAAGGAGAGAAGAAGTAAGAGGTGGGGGGACAGGAAAGGAAGCGGTAGGAAAGAAACAGAGAAAAAAAAAATGTGTACACGTATGCGTGCGTGCACAGTGCTGGTGGTGGACAGGAGCTGCAAAAGGAGCAAATGAGTGAAGACAAGGTGACACTAGACAGAAGGGAGAGGTTGGTGTAACAGTAATAGCTAACTAGACTGTCGGCACCATCTGCAGACAGTGAAGGCAGAAAGAATTACATAAACATGTAATTCTCATGATGTTACGATCATTAGCAGGCATGGAGTGGACATTAACATCTACAATACAAAACACTAGTGAAAAGCTGAGACTTTACTGAGTGAATGAGACAAATGCACTTTTAAAACTTCGTTTTGCGAACCACTACTGATAGAAGCACAGCAAGAACCTTATGGGAATAATGGTTTTAATTTAATATTCACACGTTTGTTAATAACTCATTATGTATTTGCAAAAACAGATTGCTACTCTCATATTTAATCAAGCATGACATAAGGAAGGTCAGTTGAGAGGACAGCAGTAAGTCTCAGCTCCCACCGTCATGGCCGCTTCATAACCATCTGGATATGACCACAAACACTGCAGTCAGCAATCTGGGTGCAGTGATATCATGTGGCATTCGCCATTTGTTTTTATTTTTAGACCATTTCCTCATCACTGTATAATCAGTATATATGGTCTCACCGATACAGCACTCTTCCCCCCCCCGCGCTCTCTCTCTCTCTCTCTCTCCCGCTCCCTGGCAAGCTGGTCACTGTCTGAAGCTAATGGCTGAGAGCACAGCTAAAATCTCTGTGTGATAAGGTAATGTGGAGGCAGGGAGCGGGAGAGAGAGAGAGAGAGAGAGCGCGGGGGGGGAAGAGTGCTGTATCGGTGAGACCGGGGGGTGGGGAGGCTGTGGATGATGTCAGTGGGGAAAAGGTCTTTTTATAACACCACCTGTCCATCTTGCCTGCAATAAGATTCCATACAGGTCTCAGCGCATGTGGAGATTTTCGTATAAAATGACCTTCGACAATTTTCATTTCACTCACACAACATTCAAAAGTTCATTGGCCCTTTTGTCCTATTCAGGCTGTGACTGTGAGTGCCCTGCCCAATAGCTTGTATAGACATTTTGCTGTAAAGAGGTGTTTGTGGTGCATTTACCTGGATAAAGGTTAAAAAGAAAATGTGTTCTGAATACACTTTATATCAACTTGGCTGTCCACAATTAAAGTGTACAAGCAACAGAGTTTATCCACAAAGAATCATGAAGAAGCACCACTTTAAATATTTTTGTTTTCCAGAGATGTGCTCATTAGTTTCTTGGAAATAAGTCATTCAGCATGAAAAAAAGCATAAAGAACGACTAATCCACTGAAGAAATCTTAGTGGACTACAACCAAAGCGATCAAAGAGAAGGAGCAGCCCTAACATTGACGATCAATTTGAGTGGAATAAAGTGAACTGCCAACTATAATACATAATCACTGCAATCATATCACAGCAAGAGAACAGAATTAGTATGTGCCCATTATTTCCAGACAACTTTGTGGACCCCCCCCCCAAAAAACGGACCTGAAACACTCAAGCCTCGAGCCTCCTTTCTGAGCAGAAGAGCTAATTTGACGTCACGTTGACAACAATTGTTGGGCTGCTCACTGAAGCGTTTGAGCTGGTCAGAGTGCTCGCCGTGTGAGGCCACTGACGTGTTATTGACAGATGGCCAGGCTCCTGCCCTCCACAGGACACCTCAAACCCAAACAACTACTGGATACACCGAGGTGATCCTCACATCAATATCCATCTATTATTCACATATCTGTGCTGGCTCGCAAAAAGAAGCAGCTCAACTGCATTTCATAAGTGCTAGACCCGTATATGCGTGTTGCAGGGAGGGAGCCCAGCTACTGCCCTGCGTTTGATCCGACAGTTGTGGCGAACTACCTTTCGCACTGTCACAGCGTGACACAGAACTGCGATTAAGTGGGTCAGTGATTCTTATTGTATGCAGTACAGTCGTTAGCTTTTATGGAAGAATACATCATGTGCACCAGTTTTATATTTGAAGTCAGGTACAGGGAGGGCAGGTTTATTCATTTGCACATTTCTTTCGACACAAAACCGAGGTCAAGCCTGAAACTTTTCTGCATACTAAGTGCATTTGATCTGAATACATAACCAGGGAGGAATATTTCCGTGCGGACGCCCTCCGTTATGGTACATGCTGAAGAGGAAGAAGCATCAGTAGCAATCGTACTGTAGTTATACAAGTGGCTGTGTCTTCGGCAGTTCTTGAGGGAGATCTAGTTTATTATTCCTTGTTTAGTTGGCCTCTCTGGACTTCTCTCATTGAAGTGCTTCATATGAAGTTTAAAGTAAAGCACCACTACAGTGCGTTTAATATGAGGTGCTTTGGTTTGCTGTAGTACATACCATCACACGCTCTCTTTCTCTCCCTCATGCTGCATAGAAATATTAAAGCTGTGCCCCGAGGTCAACAGCAACAGCCCTCATTGTGCCCTTGTGTTCTTCATAGCCCCCAATATGAGAGGCGATGACTCATTCTTTTGATCCACTCCAATATCATTAAGTTATTAGTTGATTTCAGTGGATTTAATCAGCATAGTAATTCCTCTCTATGGGAAGATAAGTCTCTCTCAAGAGCAGTTACGCCGTTCACTATGCCTGCTGATTAGACACAAACCCCCAAAATAATTCATCAGAAAACTGCAAAAAATAATTTATCAAAAGTGCTTCTCACAAAACCCGCTCAGGACCTTTGCTTCTTAATAATTAAACTCCGCAATTAGGCATCTTACCATGCACTCAGTGTGAGGCTCCATGTAATATTCATAACCACACATAATTATGCAATATATTCACTGAAATAAGAGGCCATATATTCACGGTGGGGCTGTCAAGAGGCAAGACATTTTTATTTGGTTTATAACACCGTTTCATCTTATACATGAGCAGCTGGCTTCTGGAGACAGAAGAGAACGAGGACGTCTGGTCCTCAGCAGTCTGACACTGTATTCTGTGGCTCTGGCTCGTAGAGGAAAGAGAAAGAGAGAGAGGGAGAAAGGGGGAGAGAGAGAGAGAGAGAGAGAGAGAGATAGGCACTGAGTGGCGATGCTCTCGCCATTAGAACCACTAATATCTAAGTCTATCTGCTGGACACAACAAAGACAAACCTTAGTGGTTTCATACATTGACCACAAGATGCAGGAAGAAAGACGAGGCATTAAATTAAAATTGAGTCGAGATGGGGTGCTGTCTCGGGATGTATTGTATGATAAATTATACATAATGCTCATCCCAGCTTGGTGAAGAACTATAGAAAAAACAATTGTCCCAAAGCCCTTGATGGTGCCTGAAGCAAATAAGCAACAGCAGCGGTCTACAGTGGACACACTGTGGACAAGGTTGGCTTTCATCTTGAGATGCGGTTCAAAGCTATACGGGCTAAGCACAGAACAAACTGGCAATCAAAGCTAATGCGTAACTGGGCAGTGGTGCACTTCACAGAGCCTGTCGTGTCGAATGCAGCGGAGATCACACACAGACGCCTCTCTCACATCACAATAGCTGATTTTCAACACATGGCCTTTGGAACCTATTATTTTTCACCATGTAAATGTGAAAAAAAGGAGAAGAAACGTATTACTGTTGGGAGCTGGTGTCTTTTGAAGGCCTTTCATGACATGTATATGATGAATGAGAAGAAGAGCATACATTTTCTTCGACTTTACTGTAGTTCACAAAGGCTCTCATTCTCCCTCAGCGAAGCCATCCCCCAAGGATACCATTTGCTCTACAAGGATGGCTGAACTTAGCAGAGGATCAAAATGTATTCTGTATCATAAAATGTATTGTAGTGGACTAACATCCATAGAACATTTGATAACTTTAGTGTCGCAAATATTACAAAGCTCTTTGTGGACAGATTTCATAAGCACTTAATATCCGCACCAAGCATCTGTAACGCTCACAAAGTTGTTGCTACATGTAACAACAACACAATAACATGGAACAAGCTGTATCCCCATATGGTTGATGAACGCTGTTGTGCCCTACTGTATATGGAGCTCCACCATTCTGCATTGTCTTTTATGTATTGAGATTACAAGTTGAATCAGATATTAAATTATGTTATTTGCATTGTACATACCTTTTGCTTGAATTTCATTTTCCTGCAAAAAAGGCAAGATAAAAAGAACATTATATATATATATATATATATATATATATATACATCAATAAATTAAAAATAATTCAAGAGTCAAACTATCCCCTCAAGCCTTCTCACACAAAACCAGTGTGTATTTTTTTTTTTTGTCCCTGTCATATGCTGAACTGCAAAACAATGACCTTTTGGGATATGACACAATTTTACTGTCGGTATAATACAGATGTGATTAACATAAATAAGACTTAAAGTCAAATAGGCGTAAAGGTCGTCATTCAGGACTAGTCTTGGGTCCGCAAGGTGATTTACAACAACTTAATTTGACTGTGTGGAGTAATTTATCTGTGACAGAGCAAGCCATGCAAATCTCTGAATGTCTTGCGCACGTACAGGCGACAATATGCCATGACTACACACATCTCATATCTACCCAATCAGTCAAGATGCTTTACAACTTCTGTCAGAGGCCCTAACAGTTCTCGTAAATTACAAGGCCATTGTACATGGTGTCAATAACTTCTGAAGGAGAATCTCAGCCAAACTGAACCCAGTGGTATATCTCTCGCTTTTACACATGGTAGTCAAGATGGAATACCTCGGATAAAGTATATGAAGGAGGTCGGAGAAGTACTTTGATGGTAGATTTGCTTTTATAAAAAGGCCTCCTATTTTCACTCAGCTGACAAATTCCTTTCAAAAGGATAAAAACTGGCCCAGATATTGACATTTTGATGCAAAGCAGGTGGCAGGCAGGTTTGATTATGTTAGAGATCACTTGCATTTCCTTTCACATCCCACTTCCCTCTACTACGGCTCCGACGAGTCTCCTGCTAAGCTTTGCATCTGTGCCATCTGCAGATATAGTGTGACAGCTCGGGAATGTGAGGCATGAATGATGCCGAATCATTCATAAACATCAACAACGAGTATGCGGGTCTGGAGTCTGCAAAGCCATAATGTGCTGTGATATATTTCAAATGCCCCCTGCAGTGTCCATTGATATTCTGCAGGGAAATTAAAGCCAGTACGAGATCATTGTATCAGGATGCATCTCAACCTCTAGTGTTAGCAATATGAGGATAATTGAAAGAGAATACATGTGTAAAAAGCAGGCACATGTGTATGATGAAAAGCATTTGCTGGAAGGTGCTGTCTGTTAGGTAACTGTGCATGTATGTGTACTTTTATGATAGCATGGATTACACGTGAGTGAGGTAGGGAGTATGTTGTTAGTGCAGGATGCAGTGATTTTCCTGGTGTCACACTGTCAGGGCAAACCTCGGATTGAAGGGCAGACAGTGATAACCACGTGCAGGGATTCACATCCCGTTCCATTTAGCCACCTTCGGAATTTTTTCACAGGGAACAATTGAGGATGCCTGACTACCAAAGCCTATGTTTTGTAAGCAATTACAATGAAATTGTCTCAACCAGCTGAACGGCATACACCCTCAAAAAAAGGAGAATGTCAAATTCACATCATTGCTTTGGTTTGTTTTTTAGCACTATGTTATCTTTCCCCCCCCATAATCAAATGTGTATAGCGCTTATTTTGTATTTTGTCAGATGTGTTCTTCTCTAGATCAATCAAATAAAAGTGAGACCATGCAATTCTACTTAGAGTGAGAAGTCATGGAGGGGAAGTAAAATGGATTTTCATAAGGATTTTCATCGTAACAGGGTACATCTCATTCCGTCTGAGTGGTTCCAAATTACAAACGACATGGGAAATATAAAGAGCGGTGAATAATCCCTGGCTCTCAGCATGGCACACCTTGATGTGCAGGTGCCTTTAATACAAGAATAAGTCATCCGAGATTGGGGAGGCAAAAAAAAAACCACTCAACCAGATGGTCTCCATAAACCATGGCGTAAAGCTCTCCCAGATGTTGAGAGGTGGTTGCGGATCCGGTGACATGCAATGTGAGGGAGGAACTGGTAATGCAGAGTGTATTAGTGGTCTCTTTATGGGTGCATTAGGTGCTGCGGAGGGGAACGCGGGGGCCGCCGCCGCTGCTGCCAGTGAGCTACTACCAGGCTTTATGCTTTGATGAACCTACCCTTGAAAAACCGGGACACTCGTGACCGTATACTGCAGCGCCTGGGAGACACCTCCCTCTCTTTAGCCTCCTGGAAAACATAAATCAGTTTCTCATATCATCATCTAGTCATATTCAATGCATATGCAGCTCTAATCGGTAAATCTGTCAGCTTTCTCCCCTTTTGGTGATATATCAGATTCGTAATACTCTCCCGCATATGCAGTAAATCTCTGACAAGGCCTATGTTTCATAAAGCTCAAAGACAAAGCTGCATGAAGCGGAGAACTTCACTTGAAAACAGATACAGAAAGTGGAGAAGCAGCTAAGTTTTAGGATGTCTCTGCACTGAAAGCGTCAGTGCATTCCAAAGTGTCATCTCTCTTCTTACCACTAAACAGTGGCCCAGACAGGAAACCAGAATAAATTTCCCCAGTTCATTGTCCCCACTGAGGACTAGCAGAACATCTCAGTCTGATTAATGGCTGTACACTGTCTAATGAACAGTAATTGAATGGTGTAATGCAGTAGGTCCTTAAAAGCCCAGAGGAGTCGTCTTCCTCCGCCTGGCTCTCTGGAAACGTAAGGCGGTGACATTGCCTAGAGTTGATTATAGTTGACCTTGCATGCGGAGAATAAGGCCTTTGAAATGGCTAACCTAAGCTTCAGGGAATAGGAGCACAGAAAAACAGCTGAAAGACAAATGAAATGGACTTGCATTGGAAAAGGAAAGGAATGGATCAATGCGGCGCTCAATAATGATTCGATTTTTTAATCACAAAATTCTTAAGAAAAGGAAGACGATTGATCAAACATCCCTAGTCCTATTGACATTTCTAACAATATTAATTAAGAAAAAATGCTTAGCTCACTGGTTGATAAATCAGCCAATATTGTTAAATCAAAACAAATGATAGTTGTAAACACAATACCGCACCAGTGAGTGCAAATCTACCCTTGTCCATATTTCCTTAAAGTGTATGACATCTACAACATAGACTGAGTCCCCCCCTCATGAAATCAATCAACTCCTTAACAGAGTGCACTCTAAAGGAAAACCCAACCTTCAGAAAGCCCAACAAAAGTCAGTCAAGTGATTATAAGAAAAGCTTTGATAAATGTGCATCGGGCTCCAGTCCGCCATCCTTCGGTCTCTTCCACCGAGATAGCCTGCCTTCACTCCCAGCGGACATCTCCACTTGGCAGAGATGCTGAATCTCGTTATTCTTTATTTGGCCTGGACCACACAGGTCAATATCACGCACACACACACACACACACACAACTGCCTCACCGGTGTACTGTCTGCAAATGTATTCACTATTTAAATTCAATGCAATAAATCATTTAAAGCTTGGGCTGAAAATGTAATCATGTAATTGAATTTGGTCATCAATATCTACTATATATATGCACATATATATGGAGTACACGGGCATTTCGCAAGCACATTTGAGCACCGGAGTGGGAGGAAATCTGTCCGAACACAGCTCAAAGTATGAGTCATAGCGGTGCAGTTATCCCTCATTATTATTCACAGCCCTCTAAATGATGAGGCTGCCGACGACGAGACAGCAACAGTCTGTTTGGCCTCAAAGGGAAAACAGGAAAGTATGCATCAATGATGGTTAGACTTTAAGTTTGGTAAGTCTCACCTGCAGTATCATTATTTCTGGTCCGATGACAACCTGTATGAATATACTGGAAACAAGAATGAACAAAAAACAAAATTGCCGCCAAGACAAATTTTAGGAAAGTAGAAGGTGTTCTAATAAAAAAACAGTCTCTTTACTTTAAAAAAAGTTTTTAAAAAGTAGTTTAAGACCTCCTTAAGATGTGTTCTGGCATGAGGTTTTAAACTGGAGAGCTTGCAACAACAATCCCACCTTTCCTTATGTCAGTCTTTGTTAGCTAACAAATCAAATCGTGCTTGGCAAGATGATTATTGCAAAAAGTAGCTGAGTTTGTAGCAGGGATTTTTTTTTTTTTTTTTTGTATTATTCAATGGGCTTCCCTGCAATCCATAGCCATATCTGAATCAGCAACACTGCTCTATGACTAAAAGTGATAAGTAATGAATTAAGCTATTGATGAGGTCTTTAGCCAGGGTCATAACTGGCCCCCAGAAGTCAATAATTACTCTGATAAGAATATCTCTATTGCAAAAGTGCATACGGCAGCAAAACCATCACCACACCAAAACATTCCCCTATGGTGTAATTGCCACTGCTTGAAATTATAGTTTTCATTAAAACAAAATGTTCAAGGTTATTGATTGCTTAAATAAGACTCAATATCTTCCCATTTCAAAGCCGAATGAAATTGCTTGGAATAGTAATAACAGCCAACTATTGTGTGCATTCATCACAGTTATGCTGCTTCATACTGCTGTCCCTCGAGGATTGTTAGAGCAAAATAAGTGTATTTAAATGACTGTAATTTCGAGGAACCACGGATCCATGCAAAAACATCTGTATGCACAGCTCAGCCCTACTTCATCACTGGGAACGTACACAATCACCAGAGTCAAATACATCAAATACAACCACATACTGTTATGGGGCTCTACTCTAATCACAAATGCACACTTCTATGTCATTTCTAAGCTTCGTGCTGTGATACACGGAGTATTTGTGACCACAGCTAAGCTCTATGAACTCTACAACACTACATAAAGTTGTACCTGGGGCTCAGGTGTCTTTAATCTTGTGTCTCCGGTACCAGCATTGTGACCTGTGCCTGTGTCTCTTTGCCCGGTAGAAAGGCTGCGCTGCTAAATGCAGAGTCCACAATACACAGAGAGAACCATGGAGACAGAAAATCAGGTTAGACTCAAATTAGACGAAAGTATAGTTGCTGGAAGCAGGTCTACGTGTTGCTTTTACAATTATGGGAATGCTGATCACCATAATTGCTGGTTAGACCGTCTTTATGTGACCTAATCCAAATGCAAATGAAAAAATTGGACATAATAATAAAGTTAAAAATGACCTAAACGGGAAATAGTACCTACATGAAACTCATAATAAGGGTACTTACATGTTTCCTGGAACCTGCAGACAAAGACCTCTGCAGAAACAAGCCGTTTGAAACATGGAGGGAGGCCTTGCAGGGATTCGCAGAACAACTCCCATCCACATACTCCTCGTCAACTATCTTGGCCTCAACCTGCAGAGAGGGAGAAAACAAGATCCCCCTTGGCTTACACTGTACTGTACTGCTGTATTGATTTTGCTAAATATTTATATATTTATGCAACTTGTTCTGCTGAGAATTTGTGAGTCTTGTTTTGAACAGAAAATGATGTTATACTGTGCTAGAAGTGTATTCTCAATTTTCAAAATACAGAAGAAAACACAATAGGAAGGAAAATGAGGAGAGGATGCTGTAGCAGCAGACACTTTTCCATCCAACCGAACTAAGCTTGCTGTGATGTTCAACTCTTAACCTTCTGTTTGTCTCCACTGTCAACAGGTTCTAAAAGTACGAGTACAATTAGGAGTACATATTTAACTTAAATGGACTCGGCACGTGACCAGGTGGCCTATGTTTATCTACGGTGATGTTCGTACTAGGAAGTAAGGATTGATTCCAGTCCTAAATAGGACCAAACTGTTCAAAGGTTGCATACTAAAGACCTCATCAGCTTGCAGTGCTGTATGTGGTTGTGTTTTACCTGATCAATAGGCAGGTCCACCTTCAACTGGCCGTCTTCCTGCACCTCCGCTGCTCCTGCCATCTCACTCCTTTTGTTTTGTGCATTGAACACGCTGCCCTCTGAGAAAAGTGATTAATCACAATTACCTCATCGGCTGGCAGTCACCGTCTCATTCTTGTGCACACTCATTCTCTCCCTCTCTATACCCCTCCATCCCTCACTGCCCTCTCCCTTTGCCTCTCCTGTTCAACTCCACGAGAGATCAATGTTGCTGTCAAGCCATTTATTTATTTAGAGTGGTCCCACAGACGAAAGGGCCACAGAAAGCCACAGCTGCCCTGCCACAAATATGGCCAGCCAGCGTGAACTTTCAGTCCAGGGTTACTTCCTGACAGTGAGAGGTTGCTCTTGATGCATGTGGGGAATCGCTTATATGGAAACGTCACACTGTTTTCCTTTGTAAACAAACTCCTTTTTGTCTGTGGCTGCTGGACGGGGTGGAGTGTCAATAATTAAACACATTATTGAGCTTGAATCTACGTCAATAGCCTTAAGTAGTTTGATGTAAATAATAAATTTAAAAAAGCACGGTAGATTAATCAGTGATAAGACAAAAGAAAATATAGAAAATGTATGTGGTTAACAGCTAGATAAGAGGCAATCATACAGCTACAAAACATGTAGACTTCATTGTGTTTTTTACTGACACATTGCACTGAACTCCAGTTAGGAAAAGACAAAATGACGAAGGAATTCTAGTGCCGAAAGCTCTGATCCTGCACCAGATGATGCTTGTGAACACCACTCAGAGCTATTTCCTGTACGAAGATGAGGTGAAGAACTCTTGGGCCTTTAGTAATGTGTTTTGTGGGGGGGGGGGGGTCCTAAATGTGGCCAGGGAACTGACAAACAACAGCATCATCATGAGCACAACATGAGCAAGTCAAACATATGAAGGGATGGCGGGTTTCAACTTGTTACCATACCGTGTAATGTGATATGTGGTACAGTAGAGGATGAGCCACTGTATTACTGTGAACAGATGGTAAAACAAATGGCCGTGAAAACATCTACTACTGAATAATTGGATAGAGGAAGGAGACACACAATTACTGTGAATTAATGATAAACACAGTACCGCCATAAAACAGTACAACTGCTGCAATGTTCAAAGCCACCAATCTAAAAGGAGTATTTTGTCACTTTTATGCTCTTTCCGTCAGCATCATTTGTGATTAATAACTTATTACCGTGTTGATCTCCACATCAGGAGAAAATTAGAGCATTTTGTTTCTCGCCCACATAGTTAACAAGGCTTTCTGGATACATATTCAACAAAATGGCCCGATTGAATTCATCTACGATTTAAGCACCGTTGACGGTGTCTGAAGTCTGGTTCTGTTTAATATTCACAGGGAAGCCTGGTTGATTCTTTCAAGCAGCAGGGAGCTGGGTTCTGTTTGGACTTAAAAGAACAGGGTTGACAACCCAAAGAAAGCTCCTTCACCTGCCAACTGTAAGTATTTTTTGCCTCTATGTTACCAACTCGCACTTTAACTCACATCTCCTCACATACAATCACTGAGGAATGTATAATGGTGAACAAGCCTACATGTGTGCCCAAATGTAGCCCTACACATGCACACACATACTGTAACCACTTCCATAGACATATAAATTGGTCAACAGGATTCTTCCTATCGTCTTAGTGAGAAAGGAGGTGTTGGAGGAAAAAAACACACGAAGAGGACAGGGGGGCTCGAGAGAGAGAGAGAGAGAGAGAGAGAGAGAGAGAGAGAGAGAGAGAG